TTTATGTATCTTATTTAAAATTATATTTGGTTCATGCACTTTATCTTCAATATATAGAAATTTAAAAGAAGAAAAGAAAATAATATTTCCATTTATTTATATGAATTTTGATACCCTTCCATTTATAGAATTCAGAAAAAGAAATAATTAATTTTAGATTTAATTTTGATTTTTTTTAATAATTTATTTTACACTGAAATTATAGCTTGGCACTACAAATATCATTGTTGCATGAAGGAATTTGTGAAATCTTAAAAGCAAACTTTTATAGGCCCCCAAAACTACAAAGAAGACAAAGGTATGTGTGCTTCAATATTATAGATCTGAAAAGATTTATGTTGTTATGATGATTAAAACTCTGATATTATAACTTGACACAAACATATTTTTCTCCGTTTTGTAATAAACATATTGTTTATATATCTTACACATATAATAAAAAATTCTCAGATCTGAATCCTAACTTTGTTTTTTCTAAAATAATCCACAGTTTTTTTCTCATAATATTCGATGTTTATACATAGGATCAATAAGAAATCGTTGCATAGTATAAGATATTGCACTACAGTTCCCAAACAACTAGATCCAAGAAACATCACAATAGTTATATTTAATACTCTAATCTTCTCCATATCAATAATGAAAACTGAAAACAATTTAATGTGGCAATTGTTTTTTTTTTCTTCTGAAAAGCTCGGTTTGTTGAAGGGTTTTAACTGATATTAAATTTGAAAGTTTCATTTTATTCATCAAATTCTATAAAAAGAATTTTATGTATTTAAATATTTCATTTTGCTTATAACTTAGTTCGTTAATAAACGAATTTACCGTTTGTGGAAATAACCTAATTTATATTCGAGCGCAGCGGATCATTCACTTTTATTCTATTTTTACATATACATAACATAGATCTATATATGTTTCGTTTGTTTATTGTTGTTTTTCATAGGAATATGGAAAGAGACGAAAGAAATACCGTTAGGGTGGAGAGGAAGAAGATGGAAAAAATCTTCACTTGTAATATCTGCTTCAATATACTTGAGAATGCCACAACCCTAAGCGTGTGCCTACACCTTTGTGAGTTCTCAATTCATTATGCAATACCTAAGTTACTCGCATATAAACGATTAATTAAGAAATTATATATCAAATTTGTATTAAATAACGATTGTGATATATTTATTTTAATTTTTTTTCATCTTTTAAGTACGATTATGATCTTGGAAAACCAAAAATCTAAAGCCCAGAGTTACCCTTAAGTTCTAAATATCTTATGATTATACCAATCATTTTGATTTGAAAAATTCTTGATATTTTATGGTCAGAACGACCATATGATTATTCCAATCATATTTTGCTCTAAGTATATTTCTTTAGACAGAGTTTATAGTGATGGTCTACTTTATGTAGATTATGGTCTATGGAGTATTTGATTTTGAGAACTGAAAGCTGTAATATTCTTACAAATTTATTGCAACGACGTCAAATAAAAAGACTTGTTAAATCTTTGTAACCAGTTTGTTGGAAATGCATCAATGACAAGCTCACACAAGATGATTTGGAATGTTGTCCAGTCTGCCAAACTGATACTGGTCCCAACCCTACCCAAAAACTTAGGTACTTCTTGAAACATTTTTTTTTCTTTGTTTTGTTTAGTCTTACACTCTTAGGTTTCAAATTATTTCTTAAAACTTTTTTTTACGTTATATTGTATGTTCACATTTATTTGGTCGATATTTCTCTACACATTCAAATTGATTTGGTTTGAAGTACAGACACGACCACATTATGGAGTCAATAAAATGTAAAGTCTTCCCTCCTAAGCAAGAAAATGTGGAGATGAAACAAGAATCTACTGAAGGTTCGTCATCATCCTCCATAAAACCTAAAAATTTGGAGACGGAATCTTTGGTTCCATCCTCTATGGAAGATGTGGAGCCATTGATACCAATCAAAGCTGAAAGTAGTGTTAAGACCGAGTTACCAGCTGTGGCTATTGGATCAGTTGCAACTTCTTCCGCGATTGACATGGAAGAGGAGACACAAGGGTAGAATGTTCTGGAGCTGAATATGTCTTGGTTGGTCTTCTCCTATGGTAGAACTCAACCCTTGATTTGGTTTTTTCAAGGTTTACTTAATGGCGCAAGTTATCTTGTGTCTTTCTTCTTTATTCTCCTATTTCGCAAAACTCTTTTTTATTATTGAATAAGTCTGCATCCGCTCTACTTTCAGATCAAGAAAGAAGAGCTTATTGATGTAATAAGGTCCTAAAGTCCTTGAACCAAACTGTGTTGTTTCGATTTTGTTTTATTGAATTTTTTACTGAGTTTGGTTTTTTTCATGTGGATTAGTTCACTTTTTGTTTAGTTTATTTGCTTTCAATATACATAAACCGATGAATTTTTATTTGTTTGTTTTAATATCTTGTTCCATTGTTTTCTAATCAGAATTTGCATTGAGAATTTTCTTTTCATTGAATTTAACGACAATTATATATATGGTAGAAAATTTATCTTTTTTATCAGTACAAAAACCAGTTGTATTATGACTAAAGAAACTATATAAATAGCCTGA